GGAAAGCATTGAAAACTATTAGACCAACTTTTTATTGTTGAATGTTAGGCCATTAAAAGGAATATAACCATATGAAAATTAATATTATTTATCATCAATTTAAGTGGTTGTGAGGTGATTTATCGTCCAATGCATTAAAATGCATCCAAACTTCATTGGATGAATCAATGGATTCATTATCACCTAGATTGATGATAATCATTACTAGTGATAAATAGCATTACTCTAAAAGAATTGGGATCTCTAGATGAACACGAGTCGTTTGGATTGGTTGTTAGTATAGAAAGGTAACGTGAAATTGGGTATGGAAATCACCGCTTTTGAAGATATTGGAGTGAGCTTCCGCAACAAAATACATGATATACACATTGGTTATAGAGATGGTTTTTCAAGAAGTGAACTCCAACTCAATATCTCCTTTGTCTCGGATGGATGCGGTGAAAGAATTTCCCATGTAGAGAAATTTGCCATCTTCTAGAGGCTCCTAAGTGGTGAGGACTTCAATCCTAACCACATGCCTTGTGGCACCCGAATTGATCCACCACTAGTTTTCATCATCTTTAAAAACTATCACGGACTTGGCATTTTTGTCAATAACTTCAAGTACAACACGGCTTAATGTTTTCAAGTTCGTGCCCCCTTCAAGTACGCTAAATCAGCCTACGTAACCCACAAATTTAAATCTTTTGAGGTTAAGTAATCATCAAGCGAGATTAAGGAACAAAGACAGAAATGTAGAGGAAATGGAACACAAGAACAGTTTGGGAAAATGCTTTCTTTATATTCATACTTGTCAGCACCACCGTGAGACTTGGGGATATCGATTCTGAATCCTAATTCAATTAAGCAACTCAAACAGAGACCGTTCATAGGTTTGGATAACTGTCCAATAAATGTCTGACACGTGTCTCCTGTTTTTAAATACTCTCAAATGCCCCTATTTTTGTAGCAAGATTGATCCTAATTTCCATTTTATGTCATCACCACTTAGAGGTGTCAAGATGGATGGGTCGGCCGACCTGTGAAAATCGGCATGGATTAACCCGTGATCTGAGCGGACGGTTCAAGGAGGTGTGACCCGCGGGCTTCTTGGGTTGCACCTTCACGGGCCGCGATTAACCCGTTAGCCCGTGAAAAAAAATTTAAAAAATTTTTAGAAAAAAGGGGGAGGAGGGGGCGGGGGGGAATTAGAAATGCATTTAGTTATTATTTGTTTAAATTAAATTTAACTTTACAAAGTTATAAATCATTCATATAACATTAAATTTGAATTCTATGTAAACATTCCTCGGTATAAATATGAATTTATCATTTTGTTCAATTCTTAGTTTACATTTAACAAAAAAAATATTTTTTGCTATAAATATAAAAAATTCTATATTTTTATAATTTTATTTATACAATAATACGGGTCAAATCGGAATAAACCACGACCCGTGATCCGTACGAGCTCGACCTGGATGGATCAACGGGCAAACCTGTGTTGTAGTCCAAAATTTTTGGACCGACCCAAAACCTGCCCGAAACCCGTAGCGGGCAGGCTTTTTTTCACACGGGACGTTACCGGGCTCATGTGTTAGCGGGCCGACCTGGCCTGACCACCCGGATTTACACCTCTATCACCACTGTTGCCTCGCAATAGACTACCATCTCTCGGTGGGATGGAGTTATCGCCAGCAAAGAGACTCGCCACTCCTTGCCATTGCTACCGTACACCAGCCTTCACTGGTTGAGCTGTGGCGGTGGCAGAAATTTTCACATTTTTTTTCACAAGGCATGCAAGTTATATAACCTCAATTTCAATTAAGTATGGCCCAAAAAGTAGTTGAGAAATGAATATGATAATACTCAAATTAGAAATTGGAAAGGTCAGTATTATTTTTTATATGTAAAGTGGTGTTTCCGATATTGTCACGAAGTTTAAGAGGATGTATGATATTGTTTCTTAATATTTTGAAGATATCCTATTAAAAGGGGCCAAATCACCCAGTTTTCTCCAGGTTTGGCTAGTTCTTACCTATAATTTGACCGGGTAGAATGTAAACTGGTCCATTACAGCTCTAATTAACTTCAAAATCAACTTCCATTACGAAATCTTAAATGTTTTTCGAATGACAAAAGCACAAATGACATTCAAATAATTATAAAACATAGATCAAATTTAACAGATTATGATGCTTTGTCCATCAGCTGTATTGGACTCAGAATATTAGCCTTGCTGGTTTCAACAATACAACCATTCATCACCATTTCCTCCAGCATGAAGTGTGCTTTTTCCAAATGAAACATTATGTCCAGCTCACACTGCAAAGTCATAATTCACAGTTCCAACAAATTTCGAAGACGAACAAGAAGAAAATTTGTTTTATGAATTGTCTAGTCAGAAACTTACCACATTGCCAAAATGGCGATCCATAGTTTCCACTAGTAGGTGGATAAATTCCAAAATTGCAAGCTCGTTCTACAAAATCAAATTCATTCAGAAAGCAGAAAAGTTTATTACGAAGTATTCACGATTGACGTTATTACATTCACACGGCAACAATATGGACAATAGAGCATGTTGGGCACAGCTTTAAGAGAGTAAAAGTTACTTCCAAACATGTTTGGATAACTTTACTTTTTAAAGTAACAATTAACCGACTAAATAACTAATTTGTTTGAAACTTGGACAAATAAAAAATTATTTACTTCAAAACAAACTTATTTACTTGTAAGTGAACTTTTAAAGATTAGCCAAAAATGCTATGAAACAAGTAAAGAAGTAGCAAGGTCTTCCTTCAAATTGAGTAGCCATTAAAAGAGCTTCTTCAGAACATTCACATATCCATCAACAAATGTCTCCAAAATGTTAACCCAAGAATCAAGTGATAGAGCAGTGGCAAAGACAAAGGTTTAAATATGCAATCACTAAAGTGATCATGCAGTGGCAATAACATTTTTTTTTTTTTTTAATATGCAATCACTAAGCTAGCTAGGCATAAGGCAAGCACCAACTGAAGTTATTTTCTGAGATTCAAACTCATTATGTAAGAAATCAAAGATGCTTGGTTTAATAATTTATATCTAGTATGTTGTACTCTAATAGCTTAATCTTATACATATCATATAGGTGTAGTTAATTGTATCCAGGCTATTTACCATTCAACTGGCTAGAAAACATTTTGAGATAGCTAATATCATCATATAGGTCTACATGATTAGAGATTCACTTTATCGTAGCAGTCAAATGTGGGTTATATCTTCCTCTAGAAGAAACAGTCATGGTCGGCTTTATCTACTTTGTACTTGAAAGTTGCAATGCTATTTACAATGTCCAAAGCATTCCTTTCCCCATTTTTTTTCTTAGAGTACTGTCTTAAAATTAATGGAGTGAGAGAGATTGCTGTCCAGCTGAGTGATCTTACAAAGTGTTTGACCCAAAATAAACAAGTGAGGACCAAAAACTTGTTGGGTAAATTTTATTTCAAGCATGCAATATGTTGTTTCCAACAGTATACAAGTTTACTGACGATGAAAGAGGCATGGTATTGAATACGCAAGAGATTTTAGTTATAGAGGATATCTCAAGATAGGAGGACTTACTTCTTCATTGTCTACTCCAACCAAGAAAAATAACGATGCATAGCGCCTATACACAATTTTGTAGTTCCGATGCTCGACAAACGAACACTGTTCAAAGAATAAGTAAGCAATCACAATAAAACATTACAGTCCCCAACTCAGCTTTGCAACTAAAGGGAAAAATATTTCACTTAATAAGCTTTAGCGTATTTTTACTACTTACGAGCAGAACTCTACAACAAATACAGATCATATGTGAGTACAACAATCAGTCAAGGGCCACTAGTTGAGGTTTTAAATCTATATCGTCAACATGAATACAGAACATCTTCTTAAACCATGTAGAATCAACCTAAGATAGTAGAAAACTTAATCAGATTGTAGCAAATGGAGAAAATTGCCTCCAGTACAGTAAAAGTTAAAACATATCTATTGATC